TAGGATCTAACACTTTTTGTCTATCACACTGCATCATGGCCAGTGTGGTAGGCCAAGCTGTTTGGACAGGGCTGCCAGGCCATGATTTGGTCCACCTGTTCAAACAGAACTTGGGGGGGTGGGCCTCCAGCTGGCCAGGGGTTGAGTTTCAGGGCCATCACCACTATGGCCTGAGTTTGATCCTAGGGCAGGGAGCTGACCCACAGATGGCACAGCAGACCTCTCCTGTCTCACCCGCTGATCCCCTCAGCAGTGTTTTTCAGTCAGTCTGTCTGTTCTACTCCCTACTCTGTCTCTGGTGAATCCTCTCATTCCCTACATCCCAGCTCTTGTAGGCATCAATCAAAAATCTTAAAAATTAAAAGGAGACACCTCAAAGTTTGCCTTTCTCTCTACTCTACATTGTGGAGACACAATGAGAAGACTTGAATGGAGAAATGTGCCCTTATCAAGGACCAAGTGTGCTGGCATGTTGATCTTAGATCCCCAGCATCTGGTATTGAGAAATAAATGTTGCTTAAGCTATTCAGTCTATGATAAAATGTTATAGAGGCCCAAATCAACTGAAACAAGTACTATGGTTACATCAATTCTTAGGAGACACACATTGAAATATTAAAGAAATTTGCATGAAACGTGCAACCCACTCTCCAATCATTCAGGGAAAATGTTTATACATGTCTTTCTGTAAAGAGACAGAAGACATGATAAAATAAATATTCTTGCAATTTTTCCGTAAGCATGAAATACAGAGACGTCTTGCCTTTCAGAGCTTTTTTGCCTCCCTCAGCTTGTGGGGAGAAAAAATATTAGAATATTACTGTGTTAAATTCCTTCATAGTCACTACTCAATAAGTATATTTTGACAACTAAACTAATATTATCAGAAAGCTAGATTATCAGAAAGCGATTAGACAGATCTTAATACTGAGGGTCTGCTGGCAAGATTGTTACAAATATACCCACCCTTACACTGCAACAGACCAATTCCATTGATAAGTACAAATCAGTTCTAGTTCTGGTTGTACATGCTGTTTTCAAAACTCATGTGATCTACAAGTTGTGCTATCAGAAGTTTCATTCAGTGGCCTCACATTCAGGAATGTACTACTATGATGAATGATGATTCTGCAAATATGTCTAGAAAGAGAAAGTTTGTAAATCACTGACAATATATAACAACAGCACCAAAAACTACTGCCCCTAGTTTATTCATAAGGGCAAATTTATTATTGCTTAAGGAAAGAATATCCATTTTCTGAAGTAGTAATTATTACAGCTTGCTCTAATAAGAAAAATGGCTTTTACTAGTAAACCTACCATCGAAACGAGTTGCCTCCTTTTGTCCAACAGGCTTCTTTTCCTTTTATATAACATCTAAATGGAATTCCAGACCTGAAAGGAACAAATAAATTGCACTACAGACCCGTGGGCTAATCTTTTATATTTTTTCAGAACCAGATGCTCTCAATTCTGCTCCCATAACTTCCAGAAAATGACTATGACCACTAGCTCCCTAGAATCTTAAGAGCCATCTTCTTCCTTGGAAAAAAAAAAAATACTGTTTGGCAATAAATGCCTATAAATCTAGTTCTTTTTTTTTTATCAGAAATTGTGAAAGAGATGATTCCAGTAACCATGTCTTTAAATGAAAGCTTTTAATACAAACCAAATAAGGTTCTTAATAATGGAATTTCATTGGAAGTATTTGTGCTTTTGCTAAATCATAAGATTTGGTGCTGACACAAATGTTTTTGCTTAAGTCAAATATCTTTTAGATAAACCACCAGGTCATACTCGCTTCCTTTTTTAGGGTTTATAAATATTAGATAGTAGTTCCTTACAAGATCTTGGGGCTTATTAATATATTTAATTTGTCTCTCAGTGGCAAGAACCAGATCTCTACAACTTAAATGCCACTATACTACTAATGCTCTGACAGATGGTTCTATAAATAATAGTTGGAAAGAAAAATCAACATAATGCCACTGACATAGTCTTGCAAATCTTTTATGATGTTGCTTAGGGTGAGTCTAAAAGCAAAAAAGTGGAGAGGTTATCAAATACATTAATGGGCTCTCTTAAAATTTTTAACTCATGAAGCAAAACAATGTGTCATTGACCTAAACAGAACATAATAGCATTTCCTCTGTCACACAAAAAACATTTTCCTACAGCTAAAGGCTTCTACTTTGAACCCTGAACAATCAGCAAACAGCTTCTAACTGGTTCCCCACTTTACTTTAAAAATCATCCAGCCCAGGTGGTCAGCACAACAGACCACTCCTGCCTGGCCGCTGCTCCCCTCAGCAGTGTACTTGAGTAGATCTGCCTGTTTTGCTTTCCACGCTACCTCTGGTGAGTCCTCTCACACTCCCCTGTGACACACACACCCACACCTCTGGCTTATATCCCAGTTCTTGAATGCATAAGTAAATAAATGTTTTTTTAAAAAGAATATAATAGTTTATTTTTACATCATTTTGTGCATTCTTTCATCTCAGTTGTAATCCCCGTGGGCTTTCCATCACCAAATCACTCATGTGCCATCACCATAGTCCAGCGCATTTCATTCCCCCGACTATGTTTGATCCCATTCCCCCAAGTAAATAAATCTTAAAAAAAAAAAAAACCCAATTTCTTCTGAGTTTTCTAAAATTGAAATACCCCTAAGCTTTGCCTGTGGTTTGTTACTTGTTACTATGCCAAGCTAAATAGACCTGGTTCTGAGAACTACAGGCATATCTCTAAATCTGTTGGTACAAATAAACGGATTTTTTTTTTAAATGAGCACATAATCCTACTATCTGGACAAAACTATTTTTATTTAGTGGGCTCCTGTTTCAGGCATAGTTTGCTAGCTGATTTAACATGGTTCTTATCATATTAGATATATCCTACATTTCTGAAAAATGTGTTTTTGGAAATTTTAGCTAAACATTTTCATTCGAAGTAAAACACTTTGGGGTCCTCCCTGATGGCTCAATAGGTTAAGGAACAGTGCTGCAAAGCTGGCAGCAGCTGCTTCAAGTGAGTTCTATTTACTGCGATTATGGCCAGTAATCCACAGTGATCCACATGGCACAGCAGACCTCCCCTGATCCACCCACTGCTTCCTCAGCAGTGTACTTCTCAATCTGCCTGTTCTGCTCCCGTCTTTGGTGAATCCTCTCACCTCCCCTGTGCCTCCACTTATACCCCAGTTCAGCATGCATGCATAAATAAATCTTTTTAAAAAGGAAAAAAAATGTAAACTACTTTGTAATGTAGAGTACAAGTCAACGTTTAACAATTCTATTCCCTAATCATTTGACATTTAGATGTTTTCCCATTTTTGCTATTATTAAGAAACCTGTGATAAACAATACTTAGCATAAAGCTTTTCCTAGAGCTTACATTATGTCCTCAGGATAAATCCTTGCAATGACAACAACTGCATTAATTGAAGAATGAGTATTAAGAGCTATAGTAACAATTTGTTTGTATTCCAGGAGTTTTACCTATTCTACCTGCAACAGGTTCAAGTAGATGTTTCACTTAACTCTCACTAGCACATTAGGTGAACTTTAAATACCAATTTTGCCTAGACATTTAAAAGTTTTATAAATATTTACACATAGATTTTTTTAAGATTTATTTCTCTTTATTCATACAAGAATTGGGATATAGGTCAGAAGTTGGGGATATGTGTGAGAGGATTCATCAGAGACATAGTGAGGGGCAGAACAGATGCATTTACTGAAATACACTCTGGAGGAGGGGGGGTGTTGGAGAAGACTGCTTCCCTGTGTGGATCAGCCCTGGTCGGGGATCAAACCCACGCACAGTGCTTGGCTTGATCGTGCTGAGACAACCCCCTTGCACCACCAGGCCCTATGTAGTTTGTGAGCAACTCAGCAAGCAGGTATTTCATTTTCAATTTGCCTCTGCAGTTCTCAAACTTAATAAGTAGAAAAGCACTTAGTGAAAATGCAGGACATATCAAATATTAAGCCATAATTAATAAAGACATAGGTAATCAGATAGTAGAGTTGTATATAGGCAGGCAAAAACAGATTTCTAGGAATTAAATGACTTTTCCTTTTCAAAAACTTTGTTGGCAGTTGTTGATGTGTGATTTTTTTTTTTTTTTTAAGCCTGGTGCTTGTAAGGCATTAAACGACAAAGGCATTAAAATCCATAGCTGCATACTTGAGTGAACTACTTTATGGACTGCTTTTTGAGTGTATACATGGAAAAAAGGCCAACTATTCTATTTAAACAAGAGAATATCTTTTAAAAACACATCTTAATATCACTAGTCGAGAGCTTAAGAGAGGTAGGTATTTATAAAATCAGCTCACTTTCTGTTGGACCCTAGTTACTAATCGACTCAGTTTCTCCAGGTCAATCTTGAGAGTGGAGCTTTGTTCCTCTATACTCTTCCTCAAGTGTATTAATCAACATCGAGACTGTTAGATGGAGGCTGGGAAAGAGGTGAACAACAAAGACACCTCATCTTTCTTTCCTGATGTCAGAATTCAGCAAAATTTCCCTATTCCAGGCTCTGGGATGGGAGGAGGGGAAAGGAAGAAAAAATAGTCCACTGGCGCATGTGGGACTAAGAAGTCAATGAGTCGCGCTTTCACAACCATACCACAGCCAACTCTAAATGCTCCTCCACATCCCACCCTTTCTCTATTGAAGTAAGACCTATTTAGCTACAGCTAACGTCAGCCTGAAGAAAGGCTTGCGCCTTACTTTGGGTTCCTTCCCCCACCCACTCCTTTCTACCCTTGCGAAGGGCGGGCCCGGGGACGACTAGAACTACAACCCCCAGCATCCTTCGCGGCGGGAAAAAGGAAGGCTCGGATTTAGCGAAGAACTCTGGGGGCGAGCGAGCCAGAGGGAGCTGCTCCTCCTTTGAAGCGGATTTGCACCTCTTTCCGCTGGCGGCGTCGGCGGCGTCCGCGCTCACGCAGGGGCGGGTCACGGCGGAGCGAAGCGGTGCTGGGCGGGAAGGGAAGTCGTGGCGGTGGTGGCTGCCGCGGCCGAGACAGCGGCGGCAGAAGGCAGCGACGACGGCGGCGTCGGGGACAGGGAGCGGTGCTGCTGTCAGTTAGACCGTCGGAGAAATGGGAGACCCGGGGTCGGAGGTGAGTAGTGGAGCGTTGGACCGTGGCGTTCTCGACCAAGCCACGCTGGGTTTGAGGCCTGGGGCTTTGGCAGCAGCGGCGCGACGATCCCCTCGGCGTTGGCGGAGCCCCGCTTTCGGGCCTGCTGCGTGGCCGAGCGAGGTCCCAGCAGCAACAATGGCCGCCCCGCCGCCTCCAGCCCCCTGCACCGGGGTTCCTCGTTGCCGCTGCTCTGCCAAAGGGAGCGACATCTTGAGACGTGATCGTGCTTGGGTTTTGAGCTTGCATTCCCGCTGGCTGAGTAGAAAGGGGGTGGGGGGAATGGAGGGTGACTCGAGGGGCCGGGGAGGGTTATTGGGTCCCTGGTGCCTGCATCGAGCTCCGGGTCTGCAGAGACAACAGCGGATTCCTTTGCGTTGCTGGCAGTCGGCATGGCGTGGAATTGTGCACAGTTAGGATTCCTGAAGCGCTTTCATTGTTCGTTTTAATGGTTCCTTTTGGAAAGATCTCTTTCCCAAGTATGTGGCCGTATAGATGAGCGTGTTTTGACTTATTTTTATAGATAATAGAATCTGTCCCTCCAGCTGGACCCGAGGCAGCCGAGACAACAGCGGAAGAAAATGAAGATGACATTCAGTTTGTTAGTGTAAGTAGCGATGCTATTTGAGTTTTTCCAAGAGTCAAAGACTATGCGTGGTAAGCCATTATGTGACTAGACCTCACCTGCTCTTTCATCTTTCAGCTCAGAGGTGTATGTGTCTGGGAAGTACTAGACAGGAGGGCGGTGGAAGGTATGGCAGGTTAAGAAAGGTTAGGAAATTCGTGGACAGAGGTTTCTGAGCAAGCACAAGAGGCATCACAAGAGTGGTTTAACCTGCATGTTGTACTCTTGTTCTGCCTTCATTTGGAGCCGTTTTTTTTTTACTTAATCCATCCAAGGTTCTGTTCTCTTAAGACTGTATTTTCAGAAAGGGCCAGAGTAGCTTCCAAAAGATGACACCCAAGTAAAAAGGGAGGCAGGCAAATGCTAAGAGATGAGGTTGAATACTTAAATAAGGGTTGTGAAACTTGAAATGTGAGCATTATGTTGTTTCAAAACATGAAGGCAAATAGCTGGAGGACTAGTAACTTCTGAGATCATCATGTTACAGCATAATACAGTTGATGCTCATAATGAGTATCCCTCCATCACCAGGACATTCAATGTTTTTTTAAAATTTATTCTTTTTGGATATAGTAGTTTTCAAGCATTAGTAAGTGTAAATGTGCAGATTCCTGGGCCTCACTCCAGATCTGCTCAATCAGAATTTTCAGCTATGGGACCCCAGAATCTTGATTATGGCACACATGCAGGGACATGTGAATCTCTGAACATGCTGTGTAAAAAAAAAAAAACTCATTTAGTTGAAAAGGTTATGGCATAATTTGGAACATTTTCGTAGTATTTTTATTACCTCAAGAGTACTTAAAACTACTGTTTTTGAATAGGTAGTTTGGAATTTGGTCTAAGAATTGTACTTTCTTTTAATGGTATTCAGTGTCTGGTGTGCATTTGTGTTGTTGGTCATCTATTTAAAACTGTTTATTAAACAAAATTTTCTGTGTACCCCAATTGGGGTCGTTGTGTTGCTCTATTGTTGTATTGTGTTTCCTGTAGCGGTTTCACAAGATCATTTTCTTTGCCATTACCAGTGCATGTGGTACTCTGTCCTTGTCATTTAAATTCTTAAAGGATTTGGGAATGGTGAGTGATGTAATTGTGTCCTACTCATCCTTTGCTGTGGACTAAAGCATGTTTGGTAACAGCATGAATTTAGGACATTTATTTCAGGTCCTTCCTGAATGAAGAATGTTTATCTTGATATTTTCTGCAGGTAAATATGAGATGGCTTCACTTCTTTATGAACTGTGGGCCTTTGAGAATCACAGATTAAATCTACCAATCTACCAGATTAAAAACTCTCTCTTTTGTACATGTACTGAAGAATTATATTGTAGGTAGTGACTAATACCAGTCTAATTTTATGTGGCTATTATTAGGCTAATAATAGCTCATATTTTAAGGTGAAATCCAGAAATAATCTAAATTTTGCTTTATATGTACAGCATCTCATATCTTTACATCAAGAATAAAAAATTCGCTATCAGTGTATGATGCATCTTGCTTGGTATAACTTATGCCTTTTTCTAAACCTAAGTTCCAAGGTTTGATACTTCAGTGAATTATATATATCTCACTTTACTTGTAGTACTAGGAGAAAACTATTAAAAACATTGCCTTTACCTTTAATGAGAACACTAAAAAAAAAACAACCAAAAACCAGTTAATGATACCTTTAAAATTATATTTAAAAAATACATTTAGAGACAAAATCTTATGCTGTTTCTGTAGCCTAATCTTATAATTGACCCTACCAGGTAATTCTCATCCAGTAAAGATAGTAAATAGTGATTTGTTTACAGTTTTTTGGGATTATTAAAAATAGCATTGCAGAGCCACTTCTTGATTTATTCTTTATTTCTTTATTTAAAGATTTGGATTTCTTTATTTAATGTAATTTTTCCATCATTAATCCACTAGCACAGCTGTCTTTTTCGTGGGTTGCAAAATACAGAACCTGAAATTAAACATAGCTTGTTGAAAGAAAGGAAATATATAAATGTGGAGGTACAAAAATGAACCTTTTCATTTAAATTTTATTGGAGTATAAAATTTATACAAAGAAGTATACAATCAACAAGAGTACCGTTTGAATTTTGTGAAACCAGTATACCTGTATATAAACAGCACTCACTGAACAGATAGTTATCATAACAAAAATTTAATTTAGGTTCTTTGTTACCATTTTCTGTTTAGTAATAAGATTCCTTGTTCAGCAACCATCTTTTTTCTTGCAAACTGGAGGTATTTTAGTTAATTTATCCTCAAATAGAAAACTGATAAAATGTTCTAACTATACATTAGAAAAACAGCTGAGTCAGCCTATCATTTTGATAACAGATTTAGAGTTCAGCCAAGATTATTGGCATAATGTAGAATTATTGAGTATGTGGAAATAGTGAAGGAAATTAGATATAATTTTATAACTTCAGGAACTTTTAGATTAAGGGTTAATCCTTTAGCTACACTAGAAGGAGGTCCAGGGCAAAATAGTTACCTTTGGGCTCTGTGTTTTTGGGCTATAATTCCAACAGAAATGTTAGAACTCTGGCCTCCATGGTGGTTTAGGGGTTAATTCTGAGCACTGTCTCTACTGACTCCAGAGTCAATTCCTCACCCACATATGGATGCAGCAGACCCTTGCTCCTCCTTGTAGCAGTGGCTTTCAGTAAATCTTCCTGTTTTGCTCCACACTTGGTCTCTGGTGAACCCTCTCACCTCCAACATGTCTGACCTGTACCACAGTTCTTTTATTAAAAGAACAAATTTTTGGAACCCATAAAATGCAGTCATGAACCTTAGGTCTACAAAGATTAACTGAAATACATCCTACCCATAAATCTGGGTATTCCAATATAGTAAGTAGAACTATGTAATTATAGTACAAAGTAGAAAGTTTTTCTGTAAAGGCTATATGGAAGTATAAAAAATGGTGAAAGTCAGATTACTACTATTGCATAGGTAGCCTTTAATATTTTTATGTGTTTACAAGGCATTTTTAGAAGAAAGAAAAAAAAAGGCTTTAAAATGGGAAGACAAGAGGATTATGTGTAGTTCAGGAAGATTTTTTTTTTTTTAAAGTGAGAAAGGGAAAGATGGGCTAGATCTTGAATTTTGAACTTAATGTTGGGAAACCTTTGAAATTTCTGGACTGTTCAGGGCTATAGAAGTAAACTTTATCTCTAATTTCTCTAGATGGAGAAAACCCCTACATAATTACTTACAGTTTTATTGTATTTATTTATTTATGCATGCATGCATACAAGACCCTGGGGTACAGGCCTGAGGTGGTGGTGTAGTGAGAGGATTCACCAGAGACAATAAGGACCAGAAAAGGCAGATTGATTGTCATACACTGCTGAGAGGAGCAGTGGGCAAGGCAGAGAAGTCGGCTGCACCATATATATGGCTTATGCTCCAGTGGCTGCAGATAGTTTAAAGTACTGTGCTTTAACTCCTTGCACCACCAGGGAGGCCCTGTTTAAAGTTTTAGATTTTTGCATTGCACTTAAATTCATATTCTTCATTTCAGACTAAAATAAGTACTTTTTATCTTAGTGTGTTGACATTTTCCAATTGGTAGGCAGTTTGTTTTGTCTTTTTTTTTTTTTTTAAGATTTATTTATTTATGCTTACAGAACTGGGGTACGGGCCAGAGGTACAGAGGCCGTGAGAGGAATAGTGGGAAGCAAAGCAGGCAGGTTGACATCGTACACTGCTGAGGGAAGCAGCGGGCGGGTCAGGAGAGGTCTGCCACACTTTGTGGGTCAGCTCCCTGACCAGGAATCAAACTCATGCTTCAGTGGCTTCGGAGAGCTTCATAATGTGGTGCTTTAACCCATTGCGCCACCAGGCAGAGCCCTGTTTTGTCTTTTATGAAAATAAATTTTCTAATAACAGGAAAAAATCTTTATAGTTCATTAATTTTCTTAAAATGGCAGTATTAATTCAACTCTGTTCCTACACTGTTTTGCTTGTACCCTTACTCCTACCTTTAGATAATGTGGCTTTGAGAGAATTGTTTGATTTTGTTTTGGTCTAAAGGAGAAATGAAAATGATAGTTTGCTAGTTGTTGGGTTAGAACAAATACAGATGAATATCTTTAATTGGCATACCATGTGCATTTATACATAAGAATGTAAATAGTAATTATAAACATAAGTTACTTTTTCTTTATATTTGTATTCTAAATCTTTTTTGGGGGGAACTAATGACTTACTTTTTGGTCTGTATTAGGAGTTATCCAGAGCTTGGACTATAGCACGTGGTCCTTTTCTCTTAAGAATATATTCCCTTAGAAACATAAGTAATAAGCACTGATTTGAAAATTGAATGTGTACTCAGAGCTAATAGTGACAACACAAACAATTATTGGTTAGAGAACCAGGGATACGTCACTTGGTTTTCTCCTTTGTTATATGGTACAATAGTAATAATTATTTTATAGTTATTGTGGGAATTAAGTAAAATAATATACCTTAAAAAATTGGGCCTCCCTGGAGGCTTAAGGGTTAAGTCTCAGCGCTATTACCTCTGCTGTCTGAATTTGATCCCAGCCAGGGAGCTAATGAACAAGGCTGCCCAGCAGACCCCTTCTCTCACCTGCTGCTCCCCTGAGCAGTGTATTTCAGTGGATCTGTATTCTGCTTCCCACTCTGTCTCTGGTGAATCCTCTCATCCTCTCCCCTCACCTCTGGCCTATAGTTCAGTTCTTCTATGCATAAATCAGAAAAAAAATTTTTTAAGGGTTAATAACTCTTGGCATGTACAGGGTTTATTGAATATTGATAATCAACAGATTGGGGAGTACAAAAAAGTTTGGATTTCTTAAGCTTATTATGGTTCAAGTTTTTCCATGTCCAGTGTAAAAATTAGTGAAGTATAGAGTATTTGTTTATAAGTATTCGTTAGGACACTTCTCTTTCCTTATCTTTATATTCAGTCTCTTGCCTTTTTTTCTTAGTTGCAATCATTTATTGCCTTATCCTCCTACTACTGTCGTGTCACTTGTAGTTCAGTAATTATTTCTGGAGTGAATGAGTAAATTTTGAGTGGTCTTCCTTCCATCATTTATCTTCATTCCTTATCCTTCTCTTTCTGCATCTATTTTTCTTTTCTTTTTTTTTGAAGATTTATTTTTATTTAGAAGAAATGGGATATAAGACAGAGGTGCTGGGACGATTAACCAGAGACATAACAGGAGCAGAACAGATAGATCTACTGAAATTCACTGCTGAGGAGAGCAGCAGTTGAGTCAGGATAGGTCTGCTGAACCACATGGGTGGGGCTCAGACTCAGGGCTTTAGCTATCAGTGATAGTCCTGAAGTTTAACCCCTGCCCTGCCCCATCAGGGAGGCCCCCTGCATCTACTTTTTGTAATCCTATTTGTGACCATTATCTTGTCTGTTTTTTCCCTCTCTGTTCTACTTTTTACTTCATGCCTTGTTACCTTTTTTCACCAGCTACTAACTGTCCTTGGAATCTCTGCCTCTGCTTCTGGTCATTCCTGATAATTTGGAGATTTTCTTGTGCTTTTTCTGTGGGCATGTAATAAAAGTTCCTAATGTATAATTCTTGAAGAACAGAAAAATTACTAAATTTTTATTTCCTCTCCTTTTTGGACTGCCCATATGATTTTGATAATGTTAATACCAGTGATAGGTTTTAGTCTTGAGGTAAGGGGTTCATCTCTGTTGACCATACATTAAAGGATACCCACCCCAGTTTCTTTAACTTCCACTTTTACAGGTCACTAAAAATTGCACTTATTTTATTGCATGATTCCTGTCTCATTTATGGCTCAGTTTCTAGTTAATTTTTTAGAGCCTAGCTTTTTTGTTCACTATTTCTTGAAAGTTGCTTTCTCAAGGGCATTTAAAATCATCTTATTGTCAGTTTGTTGGCACTTTCTTGGTGCCCAATACTTAACGTTTCTGTTTAGCAGATGACTTTTCATTGAGGGATCTTTGCCTTAATTTATTTGATTTTATGCCTTCCTGATTCTGTATTGATCTACTTAACTCTTTTTGAATTGTAAAATACTAATATTTCCCTCAAGGCCTCCTTAAATATCCTTTTTTGCCTTTTTCCTTGGCAATATCATGGTTTCAATGTAGTTCTAGAATTTATTGATCTTCTAGGTAGTGGAACAACTCGCAGATCTCTTAACTTCTCTTATGTTCATACATCTGCATTATGTTGTCTGGTAGATTTCTAGCTGTCTACCAGACACCTCTGTCTACCTCTGGCATATCAACTCCTTATGCTCAAAAGAACATCAGACTTATATTCCTGTATTCTACATTTTACTAATGGCATTAATAGGCCTTCCAGCCACACATGCTTGGAATCTTAGGGATCGGTTTGATTACTTATTTTTGTCAGACTTTTGTTTTTTATAGCCAATTAAAAAAAATACCTGTGTATTCTCTTCTACATACAACCCAGCAACACTCTTGTTATCACCACAATATTAGTTCTGCATTGTTGTGTCTGGACTATTTAATGATCTTACTTTCCCTATAGTCTGTACTCTTATGTGGTTACTTTATTTAAAGTATAGCTCATCTTAGCATTTGTCTAATAAATAAAACCTAGGCTTTTTTTTAAAAAAAGATTTATTTATTTATGCATGCAGAACTGGGTTACATGCCAGAGATGGAGGGGCAGTGAGAGGACTCACCAGAGAGAGTGGGGAGCACAGCAGGCTGACTGATGAAGTACACTGCTGAGGGGAACAGTGGGCGGGTCAGGAGAAGTCTGCCAGGCCATGTGGATCACCCCCGGGGCGGGGATCAAACTCTTGCTGAAATGGCTTTAGCCTCTCAGTGCTGCACTTTAAGCCCGCTGCACCAATAGGGAGGGCCCCAAAACCTAGGCTTTTAAGTCTAGTGTTGAAGACTTCATTTATGGCAAGTCCATATGGATGGGAGAAATGGAGAAGAATGAGGTTTGATATTTGACTCTATTGGAGTGGGAAATAGGCTGTTGTTAGTCAAGGAACTTGATGTTTTGGAACTTGTATAGCCAATAAATAGTTGGTAATTTATGCCATCTGAAAAGCACTGGATCATAATATTTATGTCCTTATAGTACTATTCCTGTATTAACTTATCTTTTCCCAAAGAATCAACAGTTTTAATACTTTACTGTGTTTTAGTGTTTTAGGCCTTTCTTTTCAGTCTTGTCAATATTTCTTACGGATAGGAGGCTCTCAAATATGTCATTTTTTCCAGTCATTCTGACCTTAAATGAAGCAATGATATTGAAAGACCAGTTTTTGTTATACATCATTTCACTTAAAGTCACAGATTTGAAGAACCTATTGATAGTGTTAAATGAGGACTTAACAATACTCTGAATAATTTTCCTTTGCATTAATTCTAGTTATTAGTAGAATACAATTAGTAGAATATAGTAGTTATTAGTAAGGCTGCCATGCTACCAAAAAAAAAAGGGAGATTATATTAAGTGTTAATTTGATTGACTGTTTTTAACTTATTAATTTGCTCAATTCTCTCATTAGGAAGGACCATTAAGACCTGTCCTTGAGTACATTGATCTGGTCAGCAGTGATGATGAAGAACCTAGCACCTCTCACAGTGATGTAAGTACATTATATTTGACTTGCATTGTTTCACTTCTGCCATTTAAGAGGCATTTTCTGAAGAGAGTTATTAATGATGGTTGTCTTGAGGAGCTATAGCACTTTAAAAGTCCCTTTTTTGGGTTGGAATTGGCCATAATAGATAGTTGAAGGAGTCCTTTACCCACAACATCTCCTACTTCCAGTTTTACTCCTCTACTTTCACTGAGTATGTGAATGGATAACAAGACACAGGAAAATTCTAACCCTTGAAGATACTATCTCATAAAAAGAAAATGAAATAATAACTGTAAGCTTTTTGGTTCCTGTGCCCCTTCTCCTTTGCTGTCTTTTCCTTAGGTGCCCTATAGAACTGGATCCTTTTTTTCCAGAACCTTGTGATTCCAGAAAATTTGTTTTATGTTGGAAGAAAGGATTTGTCAAGATCCTTTAGAAAATGGAGTGTGGAGAATGGCTTATAGGTGATACTTTACTGTAGTCATCATTCCTTTTAACTTCCTCTGTACAGTACATTTTTGAATTTACTTCTTGCTGATTTATCGGTTGTGACTTTGACCCTTAAACTAATACTTGCCTTAATCTGAGAACATTATTAGCGGAGCTTTTTGTGCCAGTCTTGTCTTTTGTTTGTGTTACCCCAAATTTCTGTTAACAGACTACTTTTGATGGATTACCAGAGTCCTGGTTTTTATTCAAGGTGCCAGAAAGCTTCTGGCAGGTTGAAACTCTTCTTTGCAGTCAAAATTACCTAGAGCTTAGTCTTATTTTTATTGCCTACTAGTTCTGTGCCTGTGGATAAAATTAAGTCTTTTAACCTCAGTTTCTTTATCAAATAAGACTAACAACCTACCTCACAGGGTTGTTGTGAGGATGAAATCAGATATTAAATATCTATGTGAACTTGCAAAGTACAGCCAAAAAGTAGGACTCTACAATTGGAAAGTTTTGTTATTCCTAGAGAATGACTGAGAAATTTTTAAAAAGGGCTTAAAAATGACTCTGAAGTGGGGGACTTTTAAGTCTTTTTTTCCTTTTCATTGGCACTTTCCCCCAAATTCTCTCTGCCATTATTAGCTTCCACTTGTTAACATATAGTAGATAGGATTTTTAAATTCTAGTTATCATCACCAGTAGGCTTACCACCCATTCTTACCCTAGCATAGTGTGCCAAGCAGCAGACTAGGATGGCACCACTTCGCTTGAACTGGGCTAATTTTTACTCTTTTTTTTTTTCACAGAGTGTCAGATTAATCCCAGTAGTTGTTATTGGGCATTTGGGGGGTAGTGAAGCTTGTGGATTTGACTTTTAAAATCCCCTTGTAGACCTGTAGTGGATTGCATCTTTCTTTGTTAATTATAATAATTAAAAAAATTGAGTTCTACTTACTGGACATGCATCTCTGCACTTGAAAGTTAATATATTAAAAAGCATATTTTTTTTCTTCCTTGGTTTTCTTGTTCATGTGGATAACCCAGAGAATACCTGAGTCTAAGGTGCCATCCTCTGAGAATCATCGCCCAGAAATGTGCTCTAGCTGCAGTGTTCCTCTTCTCATTGGAGACAGCAGCTCCTCCTCTGGGAGTTGCACCAACAGTCCACAGAGAATAGTTTCTCAACTTCCTTCTGTTGAGAACCCATTGGAGAACCAGAAAAATGATCACAATAATTCAGATATTAAAATCTGTGAGACAGAGACACTTAAATCATCACACACTTGTCAGACTCTGCCTTCATCTCCACTTCTGGTTCCCCAAGAATCTTTGACCTCTTCAGAGGTTAAGGAGGATTTACCTATAGAATCTTCAGCTTCACAGCATGGACAAGATGCCATCCTCTATCTCCAGACACAAGTGGCTGAGATGTCTCGAGTGATACGTGATCTTCAGTCCAGGAGTTGTTTTAGATTTCATCATTCTAGACCAAGTGAAAACTCATCAGTTCCTTGGGACATTTCTACCTCCAAAGAAGAAAATTTATCCACGGTTGAAGAAGAAACTGACTGCAAATCTCCCTCAGCTGATGACAAAGGCCAGCCAGCTGACCCCAGTCAGTCTAGTTTCACAGGTCTTTTGAAGAGAATGGAACAAAGAGGTGTTATAAAGAGAGTAACATTACAGTCTGAAGCAGAATCTTGTGAAGGTAAACCTGATTATGTGACTTCTAAGAAACGTTTGGTTCCTCCCTTGCATCCTCTTTTGAGAATTGCCACCACTGAAGTTTTTAAAGATCCTGCTGATTGCCATCCTTCTTCCTTCATGGGACATAGGGTATATCCTGTGGCCAAGGACACCTCTCCTTTCCAGCCTAATCCACCAGCTGAGGGCCCCATTGTAGAAGCATTAGAACACAGCAAAAGAGGCAGCACAACATCCCCTCTAGATTCTACCTCAAAAGAAATGGAGGTCATGGGTTGTAGGTTCTATCATGCTGCTTCTATTGCAGCCCGCGCTGCTAGCTACATGGCCTATATGACTCAGTATCAGCGTAAACTCTGGGAAGACATGGAGGATCTGGTCCATGACCCAGAGTTTGATCGTGGAAAAGCAAGGTGTATTATAGCTGATGGTATGGATGCGGGCCTCTGGCAGCTTTGTACTACTAGGGACATAATGGACTCTGTAGTCAGAGTTATGGCAATGGCAATAGACTACAGAAGGCAAGCCTGGCTCCGACTTACATCTCTCACTAAGAAAACCCAGGAAAAGATCTCACACTTGCCCTTTGATGGTACTTCCCTTTTTGGACAAGATGTGAATGCTGTTGTCGCTGAAGAAAGCAATATAAAAGAGAATGATTATAAAGACCACAACAAATACTATAACCAGCATCGATACTTTTATAGTCACGATCAAAAAGCACACTATCATAATAGAGGATACTCTAAAGGAGATTGGTACAAGCCCCGGAACCATCCCTATAGATACAGAAAAAAGGGAGAATCTCCAGAACGCCATGGGTACAAGAATTAATAACCTGGTCATGGTCAGCAGAATAAACATCCAAGAACCTTTTTCTTGCTCTTCCCCACTCAAACAGGATCTACAGGTAGGATTACCTCAAAAACTGAACATGTGGAATTATCACCGCTGACATTTGAATTCTACTTTTGGAATGAAGTACATAGTAAAGAGACTCATGCTTTATTGGCCAAGTAACAGTAAACAGACTTACATATAAGTAGCGTTGGACAAAGATTTATCTATTATTTTGGCCCAAACTAAATCCAGAAGAGGGTACTCAGGAATCTAAATCTTGTGATAAAGAAAAATACTAAGATTATTCCTCAGGAAAATCTTACTGGAAAACTGAAAACTAGCAGATTTTGAATCTGGGGGAAAAAACCTACTACTACATTTCTGTTTACTAATGCCAGAGGTAAATCCTTTTCCAGGTCATCATTGCTTCCTTGTTCAGATCCTCCAACAGTGACAAAAATCTGTTAAAATCTATGTCATAAGATCACGCCAAGAGTCCATACTGTATCAAGTCCCATGAGACTTCAGACTCAGCATTGAAGCTCTCTGTCAAAAACTGGAATTCAAATCAGATATTGCCAAATCTAGTTGCTTCAATGGAATGACCATATGTCACAGTTTTTTTATGGGTACCAAATGGAAAAAGACTTTCCTACCTGGACCATCTCTGTGGGTATTTATGTGATAACTGTCTTCATCAAGACTGATTGCTACCATAGCCATCACTACTCAGCTTCACGTGAATGAAGTCTTTATGGTCATCAATCCTAAACCTTTGACCTAACAATCTGTCACATATCAACAGGGTGTGAGACCCAGTCAAGGTGGTCTCAGGATAAACTGGGCCTTTCACCAAGATGACTTCTTAAAACAAACTTGCTTCTAAAGTGTTAACTTTTTGAGCTTGAGAATTCACCATGCTGAATACAAAAATGATAGGCCATTACACCATCCAGGCATGCAAATATGAACTCTTAAAAGAGCAAGAATTCTAAACATGCCTGACAATCTGATCTCTTATTGTAATAAAGAAGGATGCTATCGATGTAGATGTTATTGGGTATAACTGTGAATGTAGTAAAAAAGAGAACATCTCACACAGTTCTGTTCCTGGATGTCTTTTTAAATGATGGAATCCATTAACTTGCAAGTACAAAATCAAGACTTCAGTGACATGCTCTTGGTTAACATAATCAAACTTTTACAGGAGAAGTGACTTCTCTTTTGTTCCTGGTTGGTTCCATTTATATTCACCGTACTGGAACTGGCAGCAGATACCTCAATTATGTGTTCGGTAGTATCTTTTTAATCTCATGACAGTGGCTGTACAGTGTACCAGCCCTTAGATCATGTCTTTGCAGCATGGCTTCAGAAATGGAGAAATTTGTCAAGTTTGAGGGGGTCTGAATATGTCATGTAGTGTTATCTGCTTGGCAGCCAAAAACAAAATATACTGATAGAATTAGTTTTTGATTGTTAAACATCTGCACTTTTTTTTTTTTTTAAATCTGCTTGATAAAAGTATTTTGGGTCACTGTTAGTGAAATTTCACTGTCTTGGCATTCATGTGGATAGTTTCTTGTCAAAGTTTTTGCACAGTAATGATTGACATATTCCCTGGTACCCTTTACTGGAAGCTGATCTCTCCTTCCTATCATACTCAGCTCCGTTTTGTCTACCTTTCTTCCTTTCCTTATTTTTGCTATAGAAATTGAAAACACAGATTTACCTATTTGGAAGCAATTATTTTGTTGGATAGCTTCAGAATTGATCTTGTCCTATTTGTAGATTATCTTAAAGCAGTTTGATAGAGGACCTCCATCATGGAAATTTGTTTTAAGTCATGTCTTAACATTTACCTTTATTTTTGTTCTCCATAAAAGTTTACTTCTGCTTCTTTCTATATATATTCCAGTATTCTTGAAGCTGTCAAATTATACTCTAGGATAGAGCATCAACTACCTGAAAAGAAACAGCGTCTAAGAATTCATACAAAGATTTTGCAGTTCCTATGTGTTAGACCA